TATGTATGTATGTATGTATGTATGTATGTATGTATGTATGTATGTATGTATGTATGTATGTATGTGTTTACATATTAATATTCGTCTACTCTAGTTTCCGATAGTATCAATAAATCTGGAATACAGTTTCAACTCAACCCAGATTGGAGAAGGTGATGAAGAAGGAATGATGGTTGAATTTTCATATAGTCCGATGAGTAGGTTTCACCTGTCTGTGAAACTTCACTCAGTCTTTCATTAATTGGAATAGTTTTAGGAAAGCAAGGCTAAATGGACTTCCTTTTAACATGAGGTTCCCTCGCGTAATTATGGAAATCAACTTTTGCCTCTTTGGGTGAATTGATTTGTGTGAATTAATGCGTTTGCTCACCTTTCTTTCGAGTTGAAGAGAGGAATAGACGGAATTTGTAAATTGGCCTCATTGCAAGCTTGAGCACGAATGACTTGGAGTTGTGATTGTAGATTTCTTTGAAAAAGTCCCCGGCTCTGAGCAGTTTGTGTACAACTTTCGACAAATGGCGTCATAGCTAAGGAGCGTGATTTACAAAAATTCACCAAATTTTACGATTAACGAAGGTTATTCACACAAATGCACATTCCCAACTCCAGCACAACCCACCTTCTGGTTTCTGGTTAGGCCAAAATTGCCAGACTCTTCCATTCACCTCTTCAAAAGAAATGATCATTTGAGCAATTCTTCAAAACCCACCTTCTCTTCATATGCATGTACGCATGAATGTATGCGTGTATGTGTGCAATTTCATACATGTGGTGGGCTATATGCCCTTTGTCGGCCCACTTCAGTACATTTCTTGAGGCTACGAAGCAAAACTCCGCATTGGTACCATTCGGATTGATAGTCTCAGCTCTGATGAGTCTCACCCTCATGGTCTTCTTTGTTTTGTTGTAGCGATTCGTGGGGCTATGACCGAAAGTACAACGCCAGATTGGTTCCAGGTCTTAAAGGCATTTACACACTTTCGTCAGCTGTTGTCGCTTATTTTTTCGACTGTCTCGGGACCCATGGCTTTCGTCCCTGGGCCCTTAGAATCTGGCAATTAGAGTCCTCATCAATCCGTCGAAGTTTGCCTCCTTTTCTCATCGGCACCTCGGAACTGGGAGCACATCTGCCGACGATCCGGTAGAGCATTTAGAGGGACAAGTTGTGGTACCATTTCACAAAAGTCTCACGAATTCACACAAATCATTCTAATGCCAGCCCAACGGTTGCCGTGGCTTCAGGTTTGCATCTTTGTCGAGGGCAACAACAAACTGGCCGGTTTGCCAACAAACGGATCTCAGTCCCACCCAT